CTATTTCCCAGAAGTCTCCTATAATGCGGCTGTTCCAAGTTATCCGTTTTAATTGGTAACGCTGAAAAGAATTTTAAATTCTATATATTAACCCAACAGACACTTTTAATACATTTTAGGAAATTCATGATATATCATCAATTGTTATATATATATAATATATATAATTTTTATATATAATTATATATATATATAAAATTTATATATATATATATATATATATATATATATAAATAATATATATAAAATATTTATATATATATATATATAAATATATATATTATATATATATAAAATATAATATAAATAAATATTTATTATATATATATATAATATATATTTTATAATATATGCAAAACACCACTCTGAAAGAATAGAGAAAATTCCAAGCGCTTTCGTGACTACTCACATTATCAAGGAACTATGAAAGTAAAGCATCCAAGAAGCTATATAAGGGGTCTGGCCACACCTCACTATCAGAAACCCAAAAAAGGGTTTAAACACCTAACGCGCGCCGCCCCCAACTTGGATAGGTCCTTTGCACAACTCACCCACAAACTATTCAAACCCAAAAAAAATTTAAAAATTATTATTTGTCCAGTGTATTAAATTAAATTTCCCTTCCCAAATTCTATTAATTATAAATGGATCTAATTTATATAAACCAAAGGAAATATTCATATTATTGTCAAAACTGCTTTTTATGAAACAAGATTCAATTATATTCCTGTCGACCAGGGATTTGCTTGATACTACTTTCTCAACTTTTTGAAAATCAATTGGATGTTAAAATCTCTTACATGAATAAATAGAGCATTGGAACTTGTCCAGTTTCTAATGCTATATTTATGTTGTTTTTAATCTTAGTTCGAGATTTTACCAGTTTGACCGTAATAAACTTTATCGCAAATTTTTACAAGAATCTTATAGACACCATCCATCAGCATTTTGGGGGAATTCTTTATCAAAAGTTTTTTTTTTTACTGTATCAAGATTTTTGAATACAACTTTAATATTAAAAGTCTTAAGAAGAGAAGGCTTATCAACCAAGTTTTCATGGTAAGGGAGAACCAACATATTTTTAGTTGAATAAGGCTGGTTGTCCCTTTGTGGATTGTAAAAAATATTTCTAGCAACTTTAAAAAGATTTATCAATTACAATTTCTTGGGTATTTTAAATCATAACCTATTTCATAAATTTTGAATATTTCCTCATCTATGAACTCAGGACTACAAATTCGTAAAGCTCTCAAAAACATTGATGAGAAAACAGACAGTTTGACTCTATCTTGATGCGATGAATAATAGTGGACATAGGAACAGTTATTTGTAGGTTTTCTGTAAATTTTAAATTTGAATTCATTATTACCCTTAATAATTAAAACATCTAGAAAAGGCAATGAGTTATTTTCTTCAAACTCAACAGTAAAGTTTATAGAATGGGCTAAGCTATTTAGTTTTCCAAGGAAATGGTGTATATATCTACATTTTTGGGCATAAGACACAAAATATCATCAACATATCTAAACCATTTAGCTCTATTAGGGAGGATTGTGTTAAGCAACCTTGTTTCAAAAAATTCCATGTATAGTTACTAAGAACAGTGAAAGAGATTCCCATTGCCATACCAAACTTCTGAGTGTAAAACTTATCATTAAATACAAATTTTGCATCAACAATGCAAAGTTTAATAAGTTTAATGATAGTAGGAACTGGCAATGGTAAATCATAGTTAACGAGTTCTTCAGATAAGAAACTTAATAAATCATCAACAGGAACTTTCGTAAACAAGAAAGTAACATCAAAACTAACCATGTTAAAATCATTTAAGTCAGTCAATGAGCTTAATTTATCAACCAAGTCTATGTTGTTTTTAACATTAAAGTTAGAAATTTTGCCAACAATAGGGCTCAAAATATCAACAAGCCATTTGGATAATTTATATGAAACTGACCCTATGGAGCTAATAATTGGTCTGACTGGATTCCCTGGTTTGTGTGTTTTTATTAGTCCATACCACACGACTCTTCAGAATGTTCTCGATAAGCTTTCCTAGTCATATATCTTTTGTTTCACAGTTTTCTTCTGCACTTATCAAGTCCCACAAGTTAAAAATTCGACTTAATTTTTAGCTCCATAGGGTCAGTTTCATATAAATTATCCAAATGGCTTGTTGATATTTTGAGCCCTATTGTTGGCAAAATTTCTAACTTTAATGTTAAAAACAACATAGACTTGGTTGATAAATTAAGCTCATTGACTGACTTAAATGATTTTAACATGGTTAGTTTTGATGTTACTTTCTTGTTTACGAAAGTTCCTGTTGATGATTTATTAAGTTTCTTATCTGAAGAACTCGTTAACTATTATTTACCATTGCCAGTTCCTACTATCATTAAACTTATTAAACTTTGCATTGTTGATGCAAAATTTGTATTTAATGATAAGTTTTACACTCAGAAGTTTGGTATGGCAATGGGAAATCCTCTTTCACCTGTTCTTAGTAACCTATACATGGAATTTTTTGAAACAAGGTTGCTTAACACAATCCTCCCTAATAGAGCTAAATGGTTTAGATATGTTGATGATATTTTGTGTCTTATGCCCAAAAATGAAGATATACACCATTTCCTTGGAAAATTAATTAGCTTTGAAGAAAATAACTCATTGCCTTTTCTAGATGTTTTAATTATTAAGGGTAATAATGAATTCAAATTTAAAATTTACAGAAAACCTACAAATAACTGTTCCTATGTCCACTATTATTCATCGCATCAAGATAGAGTCAAACTGTCTGTTTTCTCATCAATGTTTTTAAGAGCTTTACGAATTTGTAGTCCTGAGTTCATAGATGAGGAAATATCCAAAATTTATGAAATAGGTAATGATTTAAAATACCCAAGAAATGTAATTGATAAATCTTTTAAAGTTGCTAGAAATATTTTTTACAATCCACAAAGGGACAACCAGCCTTATTCAACTAAAAATATGTTGGTTCTCCCTTACCATGAAACTTTGTTGGTATGCCTTCTCTTCTTAAGACTTTTAATATTAAAGTTGTATTCAAAAATCTTGATACAGTAAAAAAAATCTTTTGATAAAGAATTCCCCCCAAAATGCTGATGATGTGTCTATAAGATTCCTTGAAAAATTTGCGATAAAGTTTATTACGGTCAAACTGGTAAAAATCTCGAACTAAGATTAAAACAACATAAATATAGCATTAGAACTGGACAAGAACCCCCAAATTTGCTCTATTTTTTCATGTAAGAGATTTTAACCATCCAATTGATTTTCAAAAAGTTGAGAAGTAGTATCAAGCAAGTCCCGGTCGACAGGAATAAAATTGAATCTATTTCATAAAAAAGCATTTTTTGACAATAATATGATATTTCCTTTGGTTTATATAAATTAGATCCATTTATAATTAATAGAATTTGGGAAGAATTTAATAATACACGGGACAAATAATAATTTTTAAATTTTCTTGGTAGAATAGTTTGTGGGTGAGTTGTGCAAAGGACCTATCCAAGTTGGGTCGGGGCGCGTCAGTTTAACCGTTGTGGGGTCTGATATGAGGTGCTGGCCAGACCCCTTATATAGCTTCCTTGGATTGCTTTACTTTCATAGTTCCTTGATAATGTTATATCACGAAAGCGCTTGGAATTTCTCTATTCTTTCAGAGTGGTTTTTTTGCATATTCGAAATCACCTGTTTACTGTGATATTATTGCATATATATATATATATATAATTAAAAATATATAGATATAAATAATATATAAATTATATATATATATATATAATATATATATATTATAAATATATATAATATAATATATATTAAAAATAATATATATATATATATATATATATAATATATATATATATATATATATATAATTATTCCGTAAGATTAAGTTGCAAAAGTCATCACTTCTAGTGAATCATTATCTAAGGACCGAAACGCAGTTTATATTTCAAAGTCGGGTAGATTAAACCAAATACGAGCAGTGAATGTGTTAACGTTAAATTTATTCTTGTAATAATTTAAATCAAGGCGTCTTTATTACCACCCGTTTCTTTGTAGATGTAGCAGCAGCGGCAGCAACAACATTGTTGATAGTAGTTGAAACAGGAGTAAAAGTAATATCAGAAACTATATAATATAATTATTAGTAATAGTAGTAGTATCAGTAGTGGTAGTTGCAGCAGTAACAGTAGAAGAGGAGAAGCAGCGGCAGCAGTAAGAACAATAGTAGTAATACTGTAAGCAGTAATCACAATAGCAGCTGCAGGATAGCTATAGTAGTAGTAGTAGTAGTAGTAGTAGTAGTAGTAGTAGTAGTAGTAATAGTAGTAGTAGTAGTAGTAGTAGTAGTAGTAGTAGTAATAGTAGTAGTAGTAGTAGTAGTAGTAGTAGTAATAGTAGTAGTAGTAGTAGTAGTAGTAGTAGTAGTAGTAGTAGTAGTAGTAGTAGTAGTAGAAGTACCAGCAGAACCAGCAGCAGCAACTGTAGTAGTAACATGAGCGGCTGTTTCAACCCAAATTGAAGTTATTGACTTCCACTCTATGTCATTTCCTGTGGATGAAAGTTACTTATTCTCCCATTTCACTTGTTTTCGCAGTAAAGATAATAAAGAGAATAGATGATGGGGAAAGACAAAGACACATTGGAGAAAAATACTTATAAACAATGAGAGTTACGAAAAGCAAAAAAAAAAAAAAAAAAAAAAATGACACATTAACAGATGGTCAGAGTTTCCGTCACCTGTTCTTACTTTTTTCCCTTCCTTTCCGACCTCTTTTCGGATCACTTTGACACCTAATTGTCCGCTTCATGGTTGACGACGGATCGAAACGCCATCTAACGTTTCCTGTAGTAAATGTGGGTTATTTGCTAATTTAGATTATTGATAAGTGTGATTTATGGGTAACATCCATTATTAAAATATATATAAACAGTGGATGAATAACAGATTTTTTTTCTTTGCATTACAGATGGAAGGAGTGCCGTTCGAAGTGTTGTGGTGCCAGTGCCAGGGAAACTCGAGTGCCACACCCCATCAACTCCTAATCCACGAGCAAGTGACAAAGATGCACACTGAGGCCCAGCAGCACGCCCTGTGGTACGTCGGTGTGGTGCTGACGCTCTACCTGCTAGGGCTTGTTGTTATCATTAGAAGGTCGGGACGCACAGAGAGACACACGGCGGTGTCTGCCCTCTCTTTCTGTTTCTCTCGTGCTGCTTCCTCAGTCGCTAGACGTAGCATCAGGGCTAAAAGAGATCACAGAGCTAATCCTCCTGCAGATACTCGCCATCACAACCATCGGCAGAAGCAGAAACAGCAGCAGCAGCAACAGCAACAGCAGCCCACACCAGGTCCCTCCCAGCAGCTGCACCTCGTGCAATCAAAGGAAGAACGAGAGACGAAGGAGTCGAGTTTAACAACAGTGGCCTAGCATTCACTCAACCAAGGAGTCGCCAGAAGGATCTTGATTCCGCCTTTACCCACACACCTTGAAATTCCCGAAAGAGAGTAATTATGGTAGTGTGGCCCGTTAGTTCGCAGTTTCCCAAGGCTGTATTTTTCAGTGTGCAGATTTTCCTGACAGAATCTGTGATCTTCGCTCCTCCGAAGAATATTCCAACGTTCACTTCTTTATTGGTCTAGTCGTGTGGTCTTTATAGTAGTCATTTTCAACACTCTTTGGCAAGTTTTTTTTATGGTTTCGACATCTGGGAATAGCCAGTGAAGACCACTTATCTCTGGACAGCCAATTTACCACATTCGTTAAATATCGACTTAGTGAAATATACATTCCAACGCTCTCAACTTATTTTCCAGTTTTGATGGTCTTCAAGCCTCTAGGACACACGAAAGCCTTATCATGGGCAGCCAGAATTAGAAGGCCTTAAGGAGTTAACTATAGCTTGTCTTCCTGGGGCAGGTCATACACGTACACTGCCAGCTAAGTACTCGTCAGGTCTTAATCTAACCCGTGAAATTACATGTAGCCCCAGCAGGATTCAAACCCGTGACCCTCAGCTACTCTTAAGAGATGTGGGTTGTGTTTCATAGTGTCAAACCCAGGTGAGTCTTGCAGCGCATGGAAAGGCGGAGGCTTCAACCTCTGTCAGCTAATTACTGGCCCATCTCTGACCAATCAGGTTGTTTCTGATTGCCTCCCTGGAGAGAGGGGAAGAGAAGTGCCATCATACAGCAGATAACAGAGCACTTATATATAACGGGGAAGCATTAACCCGTAGTGGATAATACAAATCCAGTTTTCGGCTTTTCTCATTGTCTACCAACAGCTGGAAAGTGGGAGATAATTCCATTTGATTCGAGGAAGCTTACTTAAGTTTCTTTAAATCAAGAGACCTTCACCAGCATGAATGTGCTCAACCTAAAGGGTTGCCAGAGAATAAAAAAAATAATAAATAAATAAACGTGTCAAGTTTAACTGACAAGAGAGAAGTAACCTTGATAATTGATTAGCCGGGTCACCATATGGAGAAGACCCGGGCCGGAAGTACCGGCAAACCTCTAATGAATGAATGATAATTGATTACCATTGCATGTTATGATAACGTTATTTAAGAGTAAAACTCTCAGTGATGTGACTTGGTCACTCTCAGTGATGTGACCTGGTCACTCTCAGTGATGTGACTTGCCCATTTTCAATGATGTGACTTGCCCATTTTCAGTGATGTGTCTTGCTTACTCTCAGTGATGTGATTTAGTGACTGTCAGTGATGTGACTTCGTCACTGTCAGTGATGTGACTTGGTCACGGTCAGTGATGTGATTTGGTCACTGTCAACGATGTGATTTGGTCACTGTTAACGATGTGACTTGCTCACTCTCAATGATGTGACTTGCTCACTCTCAGTGATGTGACTTGCTCACTCTCAGTGATGTGACTTGCTCACTCTCAGTGATGTGACTTGCTCACTCTCAGTGATGTGACTTGCTCACTCTCAGTGATGTGACGTGCTCACTCTCAGTGATGTGACTTGCTCACTTTCAGTGATGTGATTTGCTCACCCTCAGTGATGTGACTTGCTCACTCTCAGTGATGTGATTTGCTCACTCTCAGTGATGTGACTTGCTCACTCTCAATGATGTGACTTGCTCACTCTCAATGATGTGACTTGCTCACTCTCAGTGATGTGACTTGCTCACTCTCAGTGATGTGACTTGCTCACTCTCAATGATGTGACTTGCTCACTCTCAGTGATGTGACTTGCTCACTCTCAGTGATGTGACTTGCTCACTCTCAATGATGTGACTTGCTCACTCTCAGTGATGTGACTTGCTCACTCTCAGTGATGTGACTTGCTCACCCTCAGTGATGTGACTTGCTCACCCTCAGTGATGTGACTTGCTCACTCTCAGTGATGTGATTTGCTCACTCTCAGTGATGTGACTTGCTCACTCTCAATGATGTGACTTGCTCACTCTCAGTGATGTGACTTGCTCACTCTCAGTGATGTGACTTGCTCACTCTCAATGATGTGACTTGCTCACTCCAGTGATGTGACTTGCTCATCAAGTTAAGACTGGACCAAAACCGTAAAAAGATCTACGTTGCCTTGTATATCATACACTGCTAAACCCCTGAGTGTTTTACCTGGACACAAGCAGTTGTACAACCTCAATCCTCTGGACAAAAATTGTGAGCTAGTCTCAGATGGCTGCCGGCGACTGTTTCCCCCAATAAAACAAAAACAACATTTGTACATTGGTGCATACAGTTTCATCGAGGCTTAAAATTCTTGCATGAAAGTCTTTGTATACTAAAAAAAATTAAATTTATAAATTAAAATGATTTTTTTTTAACAGCAGCGAGAGGCTCAACCCATTTTTAGTGAATGGATTAAATTTCGGACAAAAATACTGATTGCCTATTGGTAAAAAGGAAAGAAAAATTAACTTGTGAAGCAGAGTGGATAGGGAGATCTGCGTGAAATGTTATTAATGCGAATAAAGTTGAAAATGCTTTGGAGAGGAAGTAACTCTCGCTCCCCCCCCTCCCATTAACACTACCATCACCCCTAACATTGTCACCATTAACACCACCATCACCCCTAACACTGTCACCATTAACACCACCAACACCACTAACACTGTCACCATCAGGGGTACAATTTGGGCTCTGATCAAAACCCCTGTCACTACATCCTCTCAAAAATATATATTAATGTGGCGCTTGAGTCTTATTCACCCAACATCAAAGTAGCTTGCGTGTTTGCCATGTATTTATAAATGAATGACCAACATACGTATGCAGAGAGAGATAAGAGAGAGAGAAAGAGAGAGAGAGAGAGAGGAAAGAGAGATTATGCGTGAGAGATATTTGCGCCTGTCTAACCAAGGTTTAGAGGATAGTGGTTTATTTTCCAATCTATCCATCAAGAAGATTTATACCCGTCTTCAACCATCCATCACACTTTGACGGAACAAGCAGTCAGGCTGAGTTGAATAACGATAGGTGAGTAAGAGAGAGAGAGAGAGAGAGAGAGAGAGAGAGAGAGAGAGACAGAGACAGAGAGACAGAGAGACAGACAGACAGACAGACAGACAGACAGACAGACAGACAGACAGACAGACAGACAGACAGAGAGCGCTAACAGGTGACTTACAGGTTGGCACCGAGGCTATCTACTGAGAAATATCAATATCTGCTCTCTAGATTACAAACTATCACTTATAATCTATGAGTATGAGTCAAGTATAAAGAGAGATAGAGAGAGAGAAAAAAAAAAAATAACAAGCGTCTCTCAAATAAGTCAAAAATGAGAGAGAAATCCTCAACTTTTACATTACGCCAAAAATACAACAGAAATGTCTGCTCACTCCACTGTCTGCTGTTGTGGCCGGGCGTGTGTGCTGAGCCGTGTCAACCTGGCTTGGTCCGACCTTTTGAGGTCTCTCTTAGCTGTCTTTGGGTATATGTTGATCTCCAGCTCCTGGGCCCTTTGAAGGTATTGAGCTCAAGCTTTTGAGCCTGTTTAAGGGTAGGTGGATGTGAACTTCTGTTCCTGGTACTACAAAGTGAGCTGTAGTTTATAAACTTGCTTGGCTGTTTCAGTGGCTTAAGGTCTACGTTTAAGACCCTTTTCTTTCTTTTTTTTTGGTAGAACGCTAGCTATCCTCCACCGAGGAACAATGACCTAAAAAAAAAAAAAAAAAAAAAAAAAAATAGGAAAGACTGACATCATTCAATACGTGTATTGCCAGAAGTGTGCAGAATTAGCAACTCAGGTAATTTGCCCGTTCTTTCAGTGTGCAAGGGCTGAACTACACTATGTGACTGGAAGGTAAAGCAAATATGTCTCTCAGACGTTTCATAACGACCCTATAAAGCTCTGGGAAGTAGCAGCAGTGTAACCATCACCACCGAGGAAGAAAGAGAATATCCAAGATATCCCCCTAAAGTATTTGTTTGCCAAAGTTGCCAAATGATTCATTTCAATTTTCAGAAGCGAGTGGAGGGGATCAGTCACAACAATAGTATACGTTTTCACCAGTGACCCTTTTGAAGTTCTCTGTAATAGCAATAATAATTATAAAAATAAAAAACTGAAAAATGCAAAATACAGTTTTAATTTCAACTCAATAAACAGAGTGGAAAAACATTGAGGTAGGTCTCATGATTACATAAATGATCAAGAGACAGCTGTGATGTTTCTTGTACAGTCAGAACCTCTGTCTCAAAGCTTTTCACGTATCGTCTGTACACTGGGATAGCCAGACGCTTCCATCTTGCCTCGAGATACTTGATCGATAACTGGAACAAACCGTGTTGTGTGTATGTGTGTGTGTGTGTGTGTGTGTGTGTGTGTGTGTGTGTGTGTGTGTGTGTGTGTGTATGTGTGACGCCTGTAAACACACACATACATCCAAACGTACTCACATACCTCCATGACTGCTGAAGACTTGAAAATAAATAATAACAATAATAAAACCAAAGAAAGAATATCTATTATTGCAATATTGGAAATAAAAATTAAAACACTACGAACAAAAAACAAAACTAAACCATGATTAACAACATATGGAAGGCGCCTCTGTTTTCAATAAAAAAAACAACAGCCACACAGCTCTCTCGTGTCTCCCTCAGAGGACTTCAATAATTTTTGGGTTGCAAAGCGTTTCTTTCCAAAATAAAAATAAAAACCTCTGAGGCCTTAACAATACTCAGGTAAACATCATTTGCAAAATAATAATGTCTGTTTTTTTTTGATTTTGGAGACGAGCCAGTAACAATAGGGCTAAAGATACATTTTGTTTTGTAAATCTACTGACTTGGGAAAAACAGGGGGAAGTTTTGGGTAAAAAAATGGCGAAAATGTCACACGAGACTAAAATTTCCCCCCCGGGGCCCCCTTTTATTTCTACAAGGTATCCAAACCCCAAAAAAACCGCAAGTAATTTTCAGTTAAGGTAAAAAAAGTAATCACTGCCAGGTTTTTTAAAAAGGTCAAAACCCCGGGACTTCCATTAGTAAACAAAATAGAATAAGAAATCTTAGAACTTTATAAAAAAAGAACATAATAAGAAATATAATTTTCAGTAAAAAAAAGTGATATAAACCTATAGATTTTCCCTTAAAAAAAATAACGTAATTTAAAAAAATTAAAGACATACATAAAAAATTCATAAGACAACATTACATATTTAAAAAAAAAAAAAAAGGTGCTACTAATATATCAAAAAAACTTGCACCGTACACACACACCACACAACACATACACACACACAACATACACACAAACACATACAACACACACACCACACACAACACACACATCAACACAAACCCCTCACACACACACACACACACACACACACACACACCACAACACACACACACACAAACACACACACACAAACCCCCCAAAACCCCACACACAAAACAACAAACACACACAACACAACACACACACACAAACACACACACACAAAAAAAACAACACACACACACCCCCACAAACACACACACCAAAACACCACACACACACACACGCACCCCATCATACACACACACACACACAAAAACAACACCACACCACACCACAAGGAGCTGAGTTCGACCCCCCGCAACCCCAATTAGGTGAGTAAAACACACACACCACACACACAACACTCCCCAAAACACACACACACCCCACAACACACACAACCACACACACACACCACACGTACACAGAACACAAGAAAAAGGGGCTACACTGAAAAAAAGGGGACAAAGACCAAGGAGGAAAGAGAGGCAATGTAAGATGACAGGAACCAGAACAGGAGGGAAGGGCAAACCCCCCCAGAAACTCCCAAAAGGACTCCAACCCGACAATCCCAACGAAGGGCAATCTAAACCAAAACCCACACATTTTCCCCTCTGCCACCAAACAGCGCCCCCCCTAGGGGCATTCTGACCCACCCCCCTCATCACAACCCCCCCTAACCCCACAGCCCCCATAGGCCCCAATAAGGCTCTCACCCCCCAACCCCAATATTCCCCCGGGCCCAAACGTGATAAAAAGAAGCTAAATTTTTGGGTGCACAAAACGCGGACGGAATAACAAATAAATATGAGGAGTCCCAACGAAAAAATCAGCGAGAAATCCCCAGACATCATAGCAGTCCAGAAACGAAACTCGCTAGACAAAACAGATCCAAATCTTCCCCCCGGGGGATATCAGATCCTGAGGAAGATAAAGAGTAGAGGGGTGGGAGGGGTTGCACTGCTCAAAAAAAACCGATGGGTATTTGAGGAAAGGGAAAGGCATGGACATGACGGAGAAAGAGACACATAGAGGTATAATTCAGTCTGGAGAACATAAAGTGGTCCTGGAGTGAGATAACCCACCACAGAACTACGGAGGCCAAGAGGGGAGTACGAAAAAACAGCAGAGTGATGGTGGACACACGGCGAGGTGGCAAGAAAAAACTCACTCGAACAGAGCAAACTTACGGGTTTTAGGGGCGATTTCAACCACGGGGAATCGACGGGGAAAACCTGGAGCCACATGGGG